TAACCTATTCGTTTGTACCCTCCTATTAATCTGAAATATAAAGAAAAAGGATTATTGTGGCATTTAAAGGAGCAAAAACCAAATCTAAATGTCCAAGAATAGAGAACAAGTTGAATTAAAGCCACTGAAATATGTGGAAATGTATTTATTGCCATAGAAAAAGATGCTTGTGATACGTGAATTGAAAAAGGAGGTACAAAGTTACGTACAATATTCTACTAACTCTATAAACAAAGAGGTATATGTATTCATAGAAGAAACCCAGAACAGTCTCAGATGCCATGTGTGGGTTATTTCCGTGTGGAGAAATTAGATTCTTACCTTCCTGTTTTATGTATTTTTACATGATCAGGTATTGTTTAGTCATTTAAAAAAATCCAGTTGGGTATTATTTGTATTATGCCTGTAGTAAAAATAGTGATAATCCCCTACGTCTTAGCCGTCATCTTGCATACCCTCCTTCTAGCCCAGGTTTCCCTCAACAGCTTTGTCTTCTCAGAGGGCAGCTATGGAGAACTAAATTTGGCTCTTCACTCTGGCTCTAGCAGATAATATCCTTTCTTTCTTCTTCTTTTTTTTTTTCTTAAGAGACAAAGTCTCCTTATGTCATCCAAGGTGGGATCCAGTGGATATTTACAGGTATAACTTAAGGTAGCCTTGAATTCCTGAACTCCTGGGCTCAAGCAATCCTGTTGCCCCAGCCTCCCTAGTAGCAGGGACTACAGATGCACCCTACTGCCCCTGGCTGGATAATGTTCATTTTGCTCATTTAATTTTGCTAATTTATTTTTTTGAGATAGAGTCTTCACTTAGTAGCCCTGGGTAGAGCACCATGCATCATATCTCACGGCAACCTCAAACTCTTGGGCTTAAGCAATCCTCTTGTCTCAACCTCCTGAGTAGCTGGGACTACAGGTGCCTGCCACAATGCCTGGCTAACAGGCTAGTTGGTCTCAAACTGTTGAGCTCAAGCAGTCCACCCACCTTAGCCTTCAAGAGTGCTAGGATTACAGGCATGAGCCACTGCCCCCGGCTTAATTTTGCTAATTTATTTATTTGTGTATTTAGTTTGACAAAAAGAGTGTACCTACAAGGTACTACCCAGGACCTGATTTCAGCATTGGGAATAAAAACTATCTCAGCTTAGTTAAAACCACCAGCTTTATTGCTTGACTACCTGTTTAGCCTGTTATGATTTAGGCAGCTTTCTTAACCTCTTCATTTGAAAGAAAATACTTATTAAGCTCCTCCTGCATGTGAGGCATTGGAGAGACAGTATTGAACAAAACAAGCACCTGTTCACAAAGCTTTCGTTCTAGTGGGTATTGACTGATGATTAATACACTCCAGGCAGTGATAAAAGCTAAGAAAATAATGCAGGATAAGGAGAATAAAGAATTACAGGGCAGATATGTATTTTAGTAGTCTTCAGGGAATGTACCATATTTTGCCCTGTGTAATGCGCTCCCATGTATAATGTACACCCACATTTTGGGGCCAGACTTGCAAAAAGAAAAAAATCTTTTGTTTTAATTTTTTAAATCAAATTTTTATTTGCTTAAATTTAGGTACTTGTTTTTGTATTATGAAAAGGAGTTTTCATATTCTTTAACACATTATGGCACAAGAAATGTTATGTAACAAAAAATTACAAAACACAAGAACAGATACAAGGTACAAGAAATGTTATGTACCAGTAAGAAATAGTACTACCAATGTATAATGTGCCTCCTTATCTTTCCTTCATAAATTTGGCTAAGAAAGTGCACCTTACACACGGCAACATATGGTATCTCTAATAAGACGATACTTGAGCAGCCAGCTGTGGGGCTGTTTGGGGAAGAGTTTGAGGAAGAGGCAGTGGTGTGCTGGCCCTGGTTAGCACCTGTTCTGACTGTACCTCTTCCAACTCTGAGCTTAGGGAGGTCAAATTCAGCCTTGATGAGTATCTGCAAATGCTGGAAACGAGGTTCTTTTCCCCCAGAGAACCATTTGTTAAACATTTACCAGCAAAGAGGGACTGGTAAGTACAAGGGCCCTGAGGAGCTTGCTTGGCATGTTTAGGAACATCAAGGCACCCAGGATTGCTAGGGCGGAACAAGGGAGAAATTGATGTGGAGTTGAGGTTATAGGTAGCCAGGAGCAAGATCCAGAGGTTATGGTAGACAGGCTGGACTTTATTCTAAGTGAAACGTGTGGGCGCAGGGGGTGGGGCGCGTTAGAAGGTTTTGAGCAGAGCAGTGATACCATCTGACTTAAGCTTTGAACAGGACCACGTAAGGAGACCTCAGGAGTAATGCAGAGAAGAGGTGATGATGGCTTGGTAGTAGAGGAGGTAGTAGGAAGAGCACCTCAATTTCTCCATTTTTTTCAGATATCATAAAGATTAAAAAGCATTTTAAAAGCGCTAAGCGTAGTGTCTTCGTACAGGAGACCCTCAATAAATCATAACTATTGTATTATTATTGACAGAGTGCTAACCCTGGGGATGGGGAGGGGGTGCTCATATCTAGTTAGGAAGACAGATAATTTTAGTATCAAGTATTAAATGCTATGTTTGAGACAAGTGGGAGCACACAGGACAGTGACTTAGCCCAGCCAGTGGCAGGAAAAGCCAGGCAGGGCATTGGAGAGAAAGGCTGCTTTACCAAAGGTCTGAGGATGGGGAATTAGAAGGGATGTCAAACTGCTTAAAGAGTCCATGCCACCTCAATTCTGCAGATAATCAAATCACAGCTTTATCTTTCAGCTTAGCAAAATAATCAGTGCTCTGAAGGAATAGCAGTGATTTAATTATTCTGTGTGTTAGTTAAACCACCTACCAGGCTGTAGATTACTATGTTCTAATTCAAGTTCATGTAGTAAGTTGATGAATTCTGTAAAGACTTTGATTCTGATCGGCAGGCAGATATAAAAACTTTGAACTTTATAGAACTTGATATGGAGAAAAGAGTTTTTAATCTGGGGCTCAAGTATGACCTTTGGGATGTCTGTACATCCCTTGAAAATATTTTCAGGGGAGGTTCATAGCTTTTATCAGATTCTCAAAGAGGTTTGTATTCCAATGAAGATGAAAAACACTGCTACTGAGATTAATATTAGATGGCAAACTAAAATCAGAAGAACAGGGAAGTTTTTGTCTGCCCATTCTGTCATTAAAATAATTTGATAAAGTGATATGCTGAATCACATGAAATCAGTTAAAAACACTTCTTTTAAAAGCAATTATTTATGATAAGGCTTTTATTATTTTATTCAAATATAAACTATCATTTGGGGCCAATGCATATTCATTTGTGATGGTAAATAAGCTGTGCCACACTTTGATGGTAAATAAGCTTAGTATAATAAAAAATCCCTATAGGCCAGGCGGCACGTGTGGCTCAGTGAGTAGGGTGCTGGCCCCATATTCCGAGGGTGGCGGGTTCAAACCCAATAGCTGGGCGTTGTGGTGGGTGCCTGTAATCCCAGCTACTCGGAAGGCTGAGATAAGAGAATTGCCTAAGCCCAAGAGCTGGAGGTTGCTGTGAGCTGTGACACCACAGCACTCTACCGAGGGTGACAGAGTGAGACTGTTACCCTCCAAAAAAAAAATCCTTACAGGCAAAATTTGCTCCTTTTATCATCTTGGGATCAAACCTTGTATTCTTCCCTTTGAAAATGTCCTCCACCTCTGATTTTATTGTTTTTACTGTGGATCACTGTGATCACTGTTTATTGATTCTCTATAATATTGCAGAGTCATGTAATATTGCAGAGTCTCCAGAGTAACATTTACTCCCTGGGGCCTTCTTTAAAGCCAAAGAAATAGGAATCATTATTGAAATTATACTACAGGAGGCTTAATAAAAGCTAATTTCTCTGCCCATCTTCTGCAGTTCAGGAATTTGCCACCTTCTAGTCATCTATGGATGGTGATAATTTACCCACTTAATTACTTTTGTCTGACAGTGGGGAATTATGTGAGTACTGCATGGGTTGTTATATTTCCTATTTCTTAAGTGCTGACTATGATCCAAATGTACCTTGTTAAGTGCATTGAGTATACCATCTCATTGAATCTTGCAACACCTAATAGCATAGAGATTTTTATTCCCACTTTATAGATATCAAACACAGGCTCAGATATATTGCCCGAGATCACACAGGCAAAGAGCAGCAGAACAGGTAGGTAGAAAAATGGAAAGACACATGTCCTATGAAGGATGAGTACACGGCAGAAAGAAGCAGACTTCTTTTCCTCAGGCCACTGCCATTTTTACCCATCACTTGGCATTCTTCAGTACTGCTGTATCAGGCACTGTGCCAAAATAATGGATGAGAAAAGTGGTCTAGTAATTGATTCTTTAAAAGGGTTGTGGGAAACTAATTCATCTAGTTAATCAAACTATTCTTAAAACAGTGATGAAAGAAAACATTTAAATTTAATTGAGTACTTAACATAAGCAAAGCAAAACTAACGAGGTGCTTTACTTATATTATTGCATTGTATTCTCATAATAAGGGTCCTGAGGAAGGCATTACTATCCCTATTTTAAGCTGAGGCTCAAAGGAGTTGCATAAGTTTACCAAAGTCACACAGATAATAAGATGGTAAGATATGAACCAAGAGCTATTTACTTTCTACTATTTCATACTATAAAATTCACTTTTAAAAATGACTTACTAGAATTAAAAGTATGTGGAGTCCAAAGATCATGTCATTAAATTCTGTATACTCCTGAGAACATCAGATAGTATTTTGCACCCAGTAGGTCTTCAAGAAATGTTTATGGGTTGACCACCCATCACAGTGGGCTAAAAAATAGAAAATCAAAGGCACAATGATGTATCTTATTTCCAAATAGGAAAGGAAAAACTAACTTCATATTAGTTACAGGACATATTGTTCCTTGGAAACGGAATTATAGAAAGTCTTTTTAATCACCCTATATGTATGTACGGTTCAGAGGTTAAAACCTGTACATACCATACAAATGTTCCAATAAAAGCACCTTGCATATTATAAGTGCATGATTTTGACATTTTCAAGATGGACAACCACGAACAGTTTAGTCCTGGTAGAGAAAAAGCAGCTTGATATTTTAGAAATACGTATGATATACAGCATAGTCAAAACCCAACAACCGTAAGTCACTTGAAGGTACAAAGGGTGTATTAAAAAATATTCAGGCACGTGTGTAAATGCTTTGACATGTGGTCTGACCCTCTTCATGGTCCACGTGTGTACTTCTTGGCTCATGGCTGCTACCTTCTGTCCCAGCACTTCCAGGTCTCCAAGTGTGTCCAGAGTCAAGAAGTGGTGTCAAGGGTTCCTGGTGATGGTGTTGCTCTAATATTCCAGTGTCACTGTCTTGGTTTTGAGGTATTCATTTAGAGCTTCCTCACCTAGGAAAGAGAAAAGCAGTAGATGGACCTTGTTCAAAGGTGGATGTAATGTCATCAGACTTCTAGACATAGGTGTAGGTTGGTGTATAGGTCACTAAGCAAGGGGAATGTGGCCAAGGTCACTGCTTCTCAGACTTTGAAGTTCATAGGAAGCACCTGAAGACTGTTAAGCTGCTGATTCTTATTTAATTAAGTCCAACATAAGCCCTGAAGCTATGAGTTTCTAACTTTTGCTGGATGATGTTGATGTCAAGGGTGCATGGACTATACCTGGAGTAGTAAAGAGCCAGACCAGCTACCAGGCCTTCAAAGGACCAGAGAGTGTTGGGTGGCCAGCATTAACCCAAACCCTTTCTCCTATATTTCCCTGCTTGATGACAAACTTCACCTTCTCCCTTCGTCACCTATGCTGAACAGAAGTGACCAGGATACTTACTGTCCTTCCAATTATATTAAATGCAGCAGACTGAACACAGGAAAGAAAGTCTGAGATCATTTGATTTAATCTTATTTTAAAGATGGGGAAAATGCAGTTTATATTGTATGTTAGAAACACAGAGGACCATGTTTAGGCCAAAAAATATATAGGTTTGCCTTTGTTCACCCATCACAGTGGGTTATTTTGAGCTAGCACAATCATCCATCTCTATGGTGGTTAAAGGGCAATGACTATGCTGGTGAAACTAATGAGTATGTAGTTCTGGAAGCTGAACTAAAACAAAGGCTGTCAGCCATGTCCCCACATTAGAATCATCCAAGGAGCTTTCAATAGTGTTGATCCCAGATCACACCAATTAGATCAGTATTTCTTTAGTGTTTAAAGCAGCAGTTCTCAACCTTTGGGTCACGACCCCTTTGGACTGTATTAAAGGTTCATGGCATTAGGAAGGTTGAGAACCACTGCTTTAAAGCTTCTGGGTGATTCTAATCCAATGTGCAGCTAAAGCTGGGAACCACTGAGCTAAGTGGTTTTCACATTTGGGGAGGAAGAAACTGTTACGCAAAACCTGTAGTACTTTATAGTAAAACAAGCAAAGCGGTTCAATTACACTCTACCAAAAGACAAGTGAAATGGGGATGCCTCACTTTCTAATAACAATTTCCCTGAGAAAGCCTCCCCACTGTTTTGGATCCATGGATGAAAGCCAAATTAAAGACATGGAAAAGAAAAATCATTTACCCTCACCCAGTGGAATTTAAAAGGAGAACTACTTTTATTGCTGCAAATATATCGCCAAAAGTCATCAAGAAAGAGGAGAAAACGTGAATCAAACTTGTAATATATCAGGCTGTAATTTCAGTAAATTGCAGACATTTCAGTTTTTGAAACAGCATGGCAGACTGACTATGAGGAGTAGGACGTGGGCTCCACAAACAGACCACCTGGCTTTGAATTCTCTCCGCCAGTACTTGTTGGCTGTGTGACTTTGGGCTACTCACTCAATTTCTCTGAGCCCCATTTTTCTGTTCTGTACAATAAGATAATAGTGGTACCTATCTCTAGATAGCACCTAAAGCTAGTGTGAGGATTGCTTGTGCCTATATGGGTTCAGTAGAATAGGGCTTGGCACATATTTAGCATTCAAAGTACACTATTGCTTGAAAGGTGTTAGTGTCACTGCAGACAGAGAATTACGTTTCTGGCTTTTTATAAACTCTAAATCTCATTCCCCAGACTCCCAACAAACCTTGCCAGGTGTAGTGTTGACTCTGAAAGACTGCCAGGCAGTTCAGAGACAGGATTTATTCCTGGAGCTAGTTGTTACTGCCCTCCACCCCTTTTCCTTTCTTGGTTCCATTTAGTGCCATGAAAGCTAAACCAAGTTCATGGTGAATGTCAGATTAAAAAAAAAAAAGGATGAATTTTAGCTAAAACATATTGTCAGAGTTACTTCTCCCTTTCAACATTCATCTTTTAAAAAGAAACATCTTTCCACATAATTTGTATGCTTTTCTGTATGTATGTTATATTCAATTAAAATGTTTAACATTTAAAAAAAAATAGTGCCTTTGTAAGCCCAGATCTAACTGCCATGTAGGAAATGCCCTTCAAAACAATATTCAAGTGTTACATGAGACATAGAGCAGATGTGGCCACCAAGGGAATGCGCAGGAGAAAAGTAAAGCCATACCTAAGTCTTTCCCGAAGCCAGATTGTTTAACTCCACCAAATGGGGCCGCCACGTCCGTCTTGTTGTACGTGTTAATGAAAACAGTTCCAGCTTCTAGTTTTTCACTCATATACATGGCTTTGTTTATGTCTTTTGTAAAAACCCCTGAGGCCAAGCCATACTCTGTATTATTTGCTCGCTGCAGTACTCCATCCACATCCCTACAAGATGTTTTTAGGGAGACATAAAACTTCATTAAATGTAAAGCGAGGGACTCTCATTTTATGTTCTATAATTTTTCACTTCTACGCTAGAACCAGAAAAACATGACAGCCACCAGTTTAAGTTTTCATAAATAAAACATTTCAAGCTTATACCAAAAGAAATAGTACAGGCTTGGCACCTGTGGCTCAAGGGGCTAAGGTGCCAGCCACATACACCTGAGCTGGCAGGTTTGAATCCAGCCTCGGCCCACCAAACTATGACGGCTGCAACCAAAAAATAGCTGGGTGTTGTGGTGGGCGCCTGTAGTCCCAGCTACTTGGGAGGTGGAGGCAAGAGAATTACTTAAGCCTAGGAATTGGAGGTTGCTGTGAGCTGTGATGCCATAGCACTCTATCCAGGGCAACAGCTTGAGGCTCTGTCTCCAAAAAAAAAAAAAAGAAAGAAAGAAAGAAAGAAGTAGTACAATTCTAATATTGTATTTTTCTTTTCTTCTCTTTTCTTTTTTTGAGGCAGAGTTTCACTTTGTCACCCTGGACAGAGTGCTGTGGCATCATAGCTCATAGCAACCTCAAACTCCTGGGCTGAAGTGATCCTCTGGCCTCAGCCTCCCAAGTAACTGGGACTACAGTTGCCCACCACAACACCCAACTATGTTTAGAGATGGAGTCTCACTGTTGCTCAGACTGGTCTCAAACTCCTGAGCTCAAGCAGTCCACCTGCCTCAGCCTCCCAGAGTGCTAGGATTACAGGGGTGAGCTACCACACCCAGCCACTCTTACACTGCTTGATACATTGCACATGGACTGGACTAGAGGCAGAAAGATAGCCTTGTGCCCTTTCTTGTTGAGGACTGTCGTGATGCCATAGCTCCAAAGCACCTGGTCTACATCTACAAAAACAATAAGCATAATGCTGACAGTGGCAGATACTTATTTATTTTTATTATATATATATTTTTTATTTTTAGGCAAAGTCTTAAGCTGTCACCCTTGGTAGAGTGTCATATTGTCAAAGCTCACAGCAATCTCAAACTCTTACACTTAAGGGAGTCTTTTGCCTCAGCCTCCCAAGTTGCTGGGACTACAGGTGCCCGCCACAACACCCGGCTATTTTTTTGTTTTTGCAGTTGTCATTGTTGTTTATCTGGCCCAGGCTGGGTTCCAACCTGCCAGCCTCAGTGTATGTGGCTGGTGCCCCTGAGGTATGGTGCCACCAATACTTGGCTTGTTTAATCTTCAGAATAACCTAAGAAAGGGACATAGCTTCATAAATTAAGAAACTAATGCGCAGAGTGGTTAAGCAGCTGGCCCAAGCTCACAGAGGCAGTGAGGTGAGGAGGCAGTGCCTACTCTGACCCACTACACCATCCTACCTTTGGCCCCCTGTGAGTTAACTGCCCAAATGTTTGTCTGTGACCCCCATTAGATGGTAAGCCCCTTGAGGACAAGGACTATGATTTATCCACATTCAGATCCCCCATCCTGGCTTCTAATATCTGCATGTTTAACACCAAGACCATCCTGGGGGCAAATTTATGATGAGAAACAGGCAATAACAGGAGTCCTTGGATAATTGTGAATAAACCTTATTCACTTAAGCTTTGGGCCCACCAAATTCTCTTACAAGATGTCTATCAAAGACCAATAAGTCCTTGTGAAGTCTGAATTCTGGGTCTTTTTTTCAACTTCTCATTGGTTGAACTAAACCTAAAGGCATTCTGAAGAATTTTGTGCACTATACCAGCAGCTTCTGTTGCATTAATACTGTTTGATGAGCTCAGTTACCACCTAGTTTTCCTTGCTATGCTGAAAACTTGAGGAAGTTTCATGTAGTATAATATACCAGTGGGTCATTTGCAATTGCTTACATTGTGAGGGTGAACAATTCTATGAGAAGCTGAGTCTCAAGCTTTTGGGGGCATAATATTTTGTGATAACAACACCCTCTTTGTTTGGGAAACAAAGACATCACAGATGCCTTCTCTAGGAATATAATTTGAAAACTGGTTGTGTGTGTGTGTGTTTTGGGGGTTTTTTTGACACAGATCCTCACTGTGTCACTCTCAGTAGAGTACTATGGCATCACAGTTCACAGCAACTTCAAACTCTTGGGCTTAAGCACTTCTTTTGCCTCAGCCTCCTGAGTAGCTGGGACTACAGGTGCCCGCCACAATGCCCAGCTATTTTTTTGTTGCAATTGTCATTGTTTAGCTGGCCTGGGTGGGGTTCGAACCCACCAACCTCCATGTATGTGGCCAGCGCCCTAACCACCGAGCTACCTATGCCAAGCCTGTGTTTTTTTTTTTAGTTATTTACCTTGTTTCACAGCCATTTCAAATGTCCACTGTACATAAACTAAAATTTAATCAGCCTAAATTCCATTCTTGTTGGCCATTAATTAAAGCTGAGTAGCAAAAATATATTGTGATCTATAATGGTTAGCAAGATCATACTCTTCTATTTATTTGTTAATTATTCTTATGGTAGAAAATTACATGTTCATTAATTTTGTGTTCTGTCTATAACATAATTACAGAAAAGAAAAACTTATTTATACAAAACCTAAGTTACTTTATGTCTAAAGGACATACCCATTTGGGAATTTAGAAATCACCATAATGGGCCCGAAGGATTCCTCTTTGGCCAGGTACATGTGGTCTTCCACATCTGTGAACACAGTTGGTTCCATAAAAAAGCCTTTTTGGGGGGGAGTAAAAAAAAGAAAAGAATGTCAATTACAGGTTAAATTATTTTCAATTAATAGCTCTTCACTTAACTACATTATGGATGATTTGTTTTTCTTTCTTTCTGGCCCCATAGAAATACAAAGAGTTTCATTTCTGTTTGGTGTGGGCATTCCTTATTTTTTAATTCTTCTTATTATTTATTCTTACTCTTATTTTTAATGTCTTTATTATGAAAATTTCAAACATACGTAAAAGTAGAGAAAACAGTACAATGAATAATAAAGTAAACATCCATATTTTGCTATATGTATTTTTTTCCTATTTAAATATATTTTTTATATTTTTTTAAAGTGTTTTTTTTTTTTTTTTTTTTGCAGTTTTTGGCTGGGGCTAGGTTTGAACCTGCCACCTCTGGTATATGGGGCCTGCACCCTACTCCTTTGAGCCACAGGCACTGTCCCCTATTTAAATATTTTAAAGCAAATTCCAGATCATAATTTTCACTTTCAAGTATTTTAATACAGTTCTGTAAAAAGAGACATTTTCTTACATAACCACAATACTCTATAATATCACACTTAACAAAGCTAATGCTGAGTCTTTATTCATGGTTTATATTTCATTTTCTCTCATTATCTAGAAATTATCATTTTTACAGGTCATTTGTTTGATTTAGGATTCAAATGAGTTCTACACATTGTATTTGGTTATACGGTCTCATCTCATAAATGTGTTTTAATCTAGAATATTTTGTCCTTTTGCTATCCCCATTATTTTTTTTTTAACGTCATCATCACGTTAAAGAGACTGGGTCAGTTCATTTTTTTTTTTTTTTTTCAGGAGTTGCAAAATCTGGTTTAATTCTGATTTGGGGAAGGGAGCACATTGTGAACAGACATATGCGTGGGAACCTAATCGATACTAGACAAATAATGGATTAGTTTACAATTTAATAAGATAACCACACATTTAAAGGCTCAAATCGAGTCCAACAGCTGTAAATACAATTCTACATTTGGCTCAAGTGGCTATTGAATATCAGTTCTTGTGTAGAATATCTAACCTTGGCTCGGCGCCTATAGCTCAACCGGCTAGGGAGCCAGCCACGTACACCTAAGGTGGCGGGTTCGAATCCCCAGCCTGGACCCGCCAAAACAACAATGACTGCTGCAACCAAAAAATAGCCGGGCGTTGTGGCGGGCGCCTGTGGTACCAGCTACTTGGGAGGCAGAGGCAGGAGACTCGCTTGAGCCCAGGAGTTGGAGGTTGCTGTGAGCTGTAATGCCATGGTACTCTACCCAGGGGGACAGCTTGAGGCTCTGTCTCAAAATAAAATAAAATAAAATAAAATAAAATAAAATAAAATAAAATAAAATAAAAAGAATATCTAACCTTTTAGATTTTTCCTTTGGGTGATATCTCCCTATCCCTTATAATTTTTTGTATTTTTTTATTGTGGTAAAATATAAATAGCATAAAATTTTCCATCTTAACCATTTTTCAGTGTACAGCCCAGTGTTATGAAATTTATTCATAACGTGCAACCTTCACCATCTATCTCCATAACTCTTTTCAGCTTCTAAAACTGAAACTCTGTGGGCCTGGATTCAGTGGCTCATGCCTGTAATTCCAGCATTCTGGGAGGCTGAGGCAGGTGGACTGCCTGAGCTCAGGAGTTTGAGACAAACCTGAGCAAGAATGGGACCCTGTCTCTACTAAAAATAGAAAAATTATCAGGGCATTGTGGCAGGTACCTGTAGAGGATTGCTTGAGCCCAAGAGTTTGAGGTTGCTGTGAGCTATGACAACATGGCACTCTACCCAGGGCAACAGAGACTCTATCTCAAAACAAAACAAAACAAACCCCAAAAAACAAAAACAGAAACTCTTTCTGTTAAAAAATAACTTCCTTTCCTCCCTCCCCTCTTTCTTTCTTTCTTTCCTTCCTTTCCTTTTTTCCTTTCATTTCTTCTTTTTTTCTCTCTTTGTCGCCCAAGCTGGAGTGCAGTGGCATAATCACAGCTCACTGCAGCTTCAAACTCCTCCGCTCAAGCAACCCTCCTGCTTCAGCCTCCCAAGTAGCTCCCAATACACCATCATGCCTAGCTGATTTTTTATTTCTTAATTTTTTAGAGATAAGGGTCTCCTGCCTTAGCCTCCCAAGTAGCTCCCGATACCCCACCATGCTAGCTGATTTTTTGTTATTTTTTTAGAGATAAGGGTCTCTACGTTGCCAAGGCTGGTTCCAAAATCCTGGCCCCAAGTGATGCTCCCACCTTGGCCTACCAAAGCACTGGAATTGCAAGAGTGAGCCACTGCACCCAGCCTGTATTTCTTATAAATGAAGGGTTGGCCTAAAGATGTGATTAGACTCAGCTTGCGATGTTTTGGCAGCAGTACTTCATAGTTGATATGTGTATTACACATTTCATCCCATCAGAAGACACATAATATCCAGCCATCCCTCCTTCACTGATGCTAAGATTGACCAGTGATTTCAGGTGGTGCTGACCTGACCTCTCCATTGTAAATTTTTGTATTTCCCCTTGTGACTTGCAAGCAACTTCAGGCATGATACTTTGGCACCTTGCAAATACCAGATCACCATCAACCTTTCATCTTATAACCTCAGCCTCTTTTGATGATCATGGCTTGAACCAATTATTTTATCAATTAGGAGATGTAAAATGGTGATTTTCTTTTATCCTATCACTTCTTTTTTACATTAATTAGCAGAAATTCTTCTGTAAAAAAATGTCTGCTTTATTGGCTACTCAATTACATAGAAATTCAGTTCATACAGGAAACACAGGATAAATGTTGAATTTTTTTCTTATGATTACTGATGTTCAGAGTAAAGTGTTGGCGTGTAATCTAACCACAACAGTGAAAAATTAATTTTTGCAGGTTTTCTCTCTATCCTTGTCAGCATCATAACACTGAGACCAACACATACTGGTCCTGCTGTAGACAACAGAAACAAACTCTTCCTGGGCTATGTTGGCTGAGATTCAATCTCACAGGTACCAAGAATCAAGACCACCAGGCCCTAGTAACACAGTTATCTATTACACTTTCCTGCACAGCTAAGGGCTTCTCACATCCATTTTATTATTTGATTTCCACAGCCTCATATACCAGGGTGTGTCCACTGCATCTCATTTTATAAAGGAAGAAATTGAGGCTCAGAAAAATTGTGCTGTCCAAGGTGCCACAGCTTATAAGGGATCAAATGAGATGTAGAACTTAGTTCTGACTGCATTATAAATGCCACTGCTGACTCTTGAGGTAAGAGAGTCCAGGATGAAAACCATTACCATCCAGTCCAAGTGCAGAAGGCAGGTGCCTGGTAAATCCCCCACAAAGGTGAACTTACCTGGCCTTTGGACTTGCCTTCCTCCGTACACCAAGGTGGCTCCCTCCTTCACTCCAGCTTCACAGTATTGTAGCAGCTTTTCCAAATGGGCCTTATGATTTTGGGGCCCATGATCGGTAGATCTGTCAAGCGGGTCACCAATTTTCATCTTTTTAATTTCTTCCACCTGCATGTTACCCAGTCCACAAAACCATAATTCACTGTTAGTAACAATCATGGGTACCCTTGACTGAGTTTCTTCTGTGGTGGGTGTCGTACTAAACTATTCATGAATGTGTTGTCATTTAGTCTTCACAGCAGCACTGGAAGTTGGCATTTATTATTTCCCTTTTATAAGAGAAAAAACTTGAGTCCTAGAGAGGTTGTGTTTTACCCAAGCACATACAACCATGGAATGCTGAAGACTTTTCCCATTTGAAATCTCAAGTTTCTAACCACTGTCTTCTAACAGAACATAAACTACAGATGCTGATCTGAAAAGTATCCTCAATGTGAATCCATTAAAAAGAGCAAAGTGATATTCTGAAATTTTCATAAATAGTGCATCTTATACTCTTTCTAAAATGGCCACATTGTTAGGCTGGGCACGGTGGCTCACACCTATAATCCTAGCACTCTGGGGGGATTGCATGAGCTTAGGAGTTTGAGACCAGTCTGAACAAGAGCAAGACCCCATCTCTAAAAACAGCCAGGCACTGTAGTGGGCATCTGTAGTCCCAGCTACTTGGGAAGCTGAGGCCAGAGAATCACTTGAGCCCAAGAGTTCAAGGTTGCTTTGAGCTGTAATGCCATGGCACTCTACCAAGCACAACAACGTGAGACTCTGTCTCAAAAAATAAATAATAAATAAAACGTTCATAATATTATCTATTTTTTTTTTTGCCTCCCCCACTGTGGGAGGGGCACGTGAAATTCTCATGATACAGCCATGCCAGAGGAGTCACTAAAACATTCTGGTGAAAAACAATCTTTATCACACAGCGCTCATCACTATGTCTTTGTCATTGCCTCCTGTGTTCCTCGGTGATCTTAATCTATTTCTGGATTTTCTAAAGTTAAATCTAGTTCTTGTAAGAAGAAAGAATGGAGTTATCATGACCCAGCAGGGCCATGAATTTGAATTTAGGCCTGGCAGTAATCTCTCAGGGCCCTGCACACAGTCTTGTGCTGGGCGAGTAGCTCTGGGTGGGCAGGGACCACGTCTGTCTGGTTTATCTTGTATTCTCAGGACCCAGTGTTTGGTCTATGTAGGCACTCAAGAAATAGCTGTTGAATGAATGAATGAATACCCATAGCATGTATGCAAAACATGCTTGTTGACTTGATATGACAAATTCCTAACATTTCTGGTCCCAGCATCTGAAATGTCAACAAGTTGTAGCTCATTCTTGATAGCCCATGACATATAACATCATAAATTGTATTTTATTCAGACACAAGAGTGAATTATACTGTGATGTTCAGGAGACAGGTACTGCCCACTTGACTGCCCACCAGCTGCCTTTCTGTATGACTTCCTTTTATCCACTTTCATGAGAAAAGAATACCTTCACTTTTTTGGTTGGATGGGGTGTAGGGAATTGGCTCTGGGGAGAAAAAGCTGGGTGCTCATTTTGCAAATATAAGCAAACTCTGAATTACTATCACCTTCATCATGACATAATGTAGTATCATTTGGAGTCTATGTTAGCTACAGAATTCATCCTAATAATCTTACAAATGACTTTTAGTCCCATATTTATGGAATCCTGATCCATGTACAGGGCCTTATTTGTCTACTTAGTTATTTTAATGGAAGAAATCATACGCTATTCCATTAACTATGAATTAGGAATTTGTAAGAATCTAGAGGGGTACCTCTCAGAGTCAATTTAGAGATTTATAGAGGCGTATGTCTCACAAGTGTCAAGGATCTAGTATACTAGAGATGCACAGTGAAATAGAGGTAATAACAGCAATTAAGTATACTTTATCAGGCTTTCAAAGAAACCTAAAATTTCTTACTATGAAAAATTATAAACACATAATAGTAGAAAAATAATATAATGACACTCCACCTACTTATCACCCATTTTCAACACTAACTACCAACTCTGGGCAATTTATTCCCTTCTTCACTTCCTGTCTTTCTGGGTTTTTTTTTTTTTTTTAACAGACAGAGTCTCACTTTGTCACCCTCAGTAGAGTGCTGTGGCATCACAGCTCACAGCAATCTCCAGCTCCTGGGCTTAGGTGATTCTCTTACCTCAGCCTCCTGAGTAGCGGGGACCACAGGTGCCTGCCACAACACTCAGCTATTTTTTGTTGCAGTTTGGCTGGGGTTGGGTTTGATACATCAGCCTTGGTATATGGGGCTGGCACCCTACTCACTGAGCCACAGTCGCTGTCTCTTCCTGGGTTGTTTTGAAGAAAATTCTAGACATCATTATATAATCTGTAAATATGTCAGCATGTAGCTATAAAAAATAAGGACTTTTTAAAAACACTGTTATATTGTTATCACCCCTAAAAATTCATTAATGATCCTAGAAGTATTTTTTAAATAAAAGCAATTTCAATACAACTCATAGAGCAAATCTGAAGGTGCCTCACCACTCTCGTCACAAATTCATCGTGGATAGATTCTTCCACAAACAACCGCCCAGCTGCGATACAGTTCTCTCCTTTGTTGAAAAATACTGCTCCCATGCCCTTCAGTAGCAGAAGACAAAATATTGCAAATGTTATTTGAGAAGTCAAGATTGTCATAAAATTGTACACACAGTGAATTAGGTGTTACTGGAAGCCAAGCAGACAACATAGAGAAGTCATCAATAGTCCTCTTGGCCTTGTTGGTGATGTGAGGAGCTGGAGATATTCAATTTTGATTTAGCATGTTTTTAGGAATTTTTGTTCCCCCCTTTCCCCTGGTATTCCATGAGCACTTTACCAATATGTGTGCAATAATAAAGGTAGAACCTTCAGGGCAAATTTTGTGTTGCAAAAAAGAAAAAAATCTAGATTTTCTATAAATTTAAGTGTAATAACTTGTATATTAAGTTTTGCTTTAAAATCTCTACATTAGCTTATACAAGTCACAAATGTTTAGAAAGCTTCCCTAACCCCTAACTCATGAAAATAATTATCTGTTTTTCAAGGAGGACTTTGAAAAAAGGAGTTTGAAATGAAGGTACTCAAAAATGACAAATGAGGGGGACAAGAGAGCAGGGAGAAAGGAAGATGGAGAGAGATGGGTGTGCTTCCGCTTAACGGGCACAATGTTAGGGTGTATGGCACACTTCTTGGGGGCAGGACATAATTATAAGAGGGACTTTACCTAATAAATGCAAACACTGTAACCTAATTCTTTGTGTCCTCTAATTAACCTGAAACAACAACAACAAAAGATAGAATTCCTCTACTAGGTATATATCCAGAAGACCAAAAATCATACTACAGCAAAGATATTTGTACCAGAATGTTTATTGCAGCCCAATTCATAATTGCTAGGTCACAGAAGAAGCCCAAGTGCTCATCAATCCATGAATGGATCAATAAATGGTGGTATATGTACACCATGGAATACTATGCAGTCCTAAAGAAGGACAGAGACTTTACCTCCTTCTTGTTTACATGGATGGAGCTGGAAAATATTCTTCTTAGAGAAGTATCTCAAGAATGGAAGAAAAAGTATCCAATGTACTCAGCCCTACTATGAAACTAACTTATAGCTTTCATAGGAAAGCTATAACTCAATTATAGTCTAAGAATATGGGGAAAGGGGAGAAGGAGGGGAGGGGAGAGGGGGAGGATGGGTGGAGGGAGGGTGATTGGTGGGATCACATCTATGGTTCATCTTATAAGGGTACATGTGAATATTTCTAAATGTAGAATATAAATGTCTTAACGTAATAACTAAGAAAATGACATGAAGGCTATGTTAACCTTTTTGATGAAAATATTTCAAATTGTATATAAAAACAGCACACTTTACCCCATGACTGTATTAATGCACACAGCTATGATTTAATAATAAAAAAGTACACCAAAAACAGTAAAAAAAAATCCAACCTTAAAAAAATTAAAACTGTTCAAATGTTAAGAAATAGACTCAACCTAAAAAAAAATGACAGATTTGGAAGACAGATGGATTTTGTATATCTCCCCTTTCTAAATGCAGTTCTAATTTACCTCTAGGAAACCTCCTTGGACTGGGTAAAAAATATAACAGATGCTTGGAAATAATACATTTTTCCTATATGTGCATCTTTAAACCTCTCAAGATTATGTTGACTATCTTGGATTTGGGGTTCTTATATGATGCAAACTAGGACTCTTTAAGGTTATAATATCCTGCAAAGTCCAGCGTGGCTAATATTAAACTCACTATTTGTGAATATCCAACTTTAGGGAAAGGGAGAGAATGATTTCTTATACTTACACTGAGATTTTCTCCTTTCTGACAATTATTTCATCCTTAGCCATCTTTATTCATTCCTTCTTATTCATGTTACACAATCAAGAGTGTGAGATGCATAGTGAAGACTTAAGTTCAGCTGGGTGCCTTCTAAAACATTAACAGACTCTGGTATGGGAGGGAAAAATCCCTCTTCCACTTATTTTTTTTCCCCAGTCTTCTTTTTTGAAGGCTCTGGAAGGCTCTCAGGAACCCAGACATCCAGGGGAGTCCTAATCCCTGATGTCAGTCCAGTACCCCCAACCACTGTCTGCCACTGAAACCTCCAGATGGGCTACCCAACAGGCCTGGTGGCAGAGTGTTTGGTCCTTCCTCACTCCCAAGCCACTCCATTCTCCTACAGGCCTTTGCATGGTGAGCTCTGCCTGTGGGCACTCACCCAAATTACAGTTTGGGGGAATGGGGAACAGATTCTTCTTAGTGCGCAGAACAGAGGATTGCATAGAACAGAAGACCATTACAGGGGTTCTAACCTTTTCTGGAACTACAAGAATTATAAGAAATTGTACAGGTGTGTCCAACTTTTTTTTTTTTTCTGCTGCACATTGGAAGAAGAAAAGTTTCTTAGGCCACACGTTAAAAACATACACTAACGAAAGCTAGTGAACAAAATAAAGTCCAGGGGTAATATCTAAAACCTCAGATAAGCAAAGCAGGCCTCAAATAATATGCATGTGGCCCATGGGCTTTAGATTGGACACCCCTTTTGTCAGGACTGGCTCATTTTATGCACCTTAGAAATGAAGAATGAGGATTAGGCCAATGTGGTTTTTTTAAAGTTTTATGTAAAATACGTTTTTATACGTACTTTGAAGTAGTTTGAGACTCACTGGGTACTGCAAAAATAGTCCATGAGTTCCTGTGTACCCTTTACCCAGCTTCCCCCATGATAACATCTTACAAAACCGAACTACATTGCCAAAACCAGGAAATCAATGTTGCCAAATAACATTTTAAATAAGGAACTCTTTGTTGTGTCTAGAAATCTTACTGGAAGCTCAATTTGTAAAACAGGTAAAAGTAGAACTGCTTAGGTTGATGGGATGAGACGTTTGAGGCAGAGGAGAGAGAAGCTAGAAGCCTTTCTAAAATGTCTTTTCAATTTTTTAATATGACTGCTATGATTCATATGCTATTTTTAAAACACTAATGGCAGAAATTACAAGGACACTCCTTTTTAAAAGTAAATGCTCTGCGTATTCCCAAGTCTAAGCATCAAAAGGATGGTTTCTGCTTATCACTGGACAAAACCATATCTCAAGTTAAGGTCTCTGATATAGAAGGTGGTGGAATGTGTTTTAGAAGCAGGCACTTATTCACTTGGATTTGGACCACTCTTACCATTCGCACAGCCTTGTCAAGTTCACAGTCGTGGAATATTATAAGTGGGGACTTGCCACCAAGCTCCAGGGAAACTTTCTTCAAGTTGCTCACAGCACAGCTAGAGGATGATAAATGAGAAATGAGCACTTAGCTTGCCCCTCTCTCTCCTCCCTGCCCCCTTGCCTTTTAACAGTGTCACCATTACACTCAGCATGGAAAACATAACTGAGCCTCAGAAATGGTAAGAACAACTCATTTAAAGACAATAACATGGCTGGTAGGTTGGGTGATGAGCACTTGGGATTCATTATGCTTTTCCATGTGCTTTGTATATATTAGAAAATTTCCATAAGAAAAAGTTTTATTTTTAATTCTGTGGTCAAATAATTAGAGATTCTCTAAGTTAATTCAGATGCTTTAGAGATTTTGGTTACAGAAAGGCCCTGGCAAGGAATTCAATCCCTAACCAGACTACTGGAGCATTGGCAGGGAAAAAATCAAGTTTTAAAAGTATGCTGTTTATTTCCCTGTTCTTACAAAAGTATTCGTATTTAAAACATTTTGAAAATATCCTCCAAAAATGCACATAGAAGGAAAATATCACAAAATTCTACCCCTGGGTTCAGTGACCATTATTTTTGCCATGTTGATATTATTTTGGGGCTATCTGCTACCATAGCTTTTGCTTTGTTTAACATAGTTGAGATCACCCAGTGTATACAATTTTATACTTTATTTTTCTTTCCATTTATAACTTTAACAACACTTTAACAACATTATTAAAATGTTTTCAAGGACATGACTGTACAGTATTCCATTATGTTGACAAACTTTACTGCTTTATTTTGGACATTTGGATTATTTATAGTTTTTTAAAAATACTGCTTTTTGGGGAATCCATTTTAGAAATAATTCATATTTATTACATACAATCTATAAATTTGTCACTTATATATCTTTTCAGTTTTTTGCTTATGCTCCAAAAACAATTTTTGGAACATAAGCTTTAGTACAGAAACTCTTTTGTCCTGGATTGTTAAAGCAACCAGTGGGGTGTAGAATTTTCATAAAGACCTGATTTTATTGACTGTGGGCTTTAATGCTTTAAAAAGTATTTTATTGCATTCAAATATTTCAGTACCCAGCAGTGGTAAGTATATTACTCTTCTGAATTTGATGTGGTTTTTCTTACTCCAAAAGTGCCCTATTTAAACAAAAACAGAAAGCTGAGTTAACAGGATCTGTAGCAGACTGACATACTAAAACCAATTATACCTCTTCATGATCTGTTTGCCAATAGGAGTGGAACCAGTGAAACCAAGTTTGCGGATGTCAGGATGTTCAGAAAGGCGTTGTCCTGCTATGCTGCCTGCAGAATCAGGGAGCAAAACATGAATTAAAACGCTACTCAAGTAATATGGAGGATGGCTTTGAAGTCACCAACATAGATTTCTAAGCTCTCATGGAAACCTTAGTTTTACATTTTCTGTATTAATTGCAAACTGACAAGAATCTAAAATAATGTCCTCTGTGCAATTGTCAGACCCCCAACATAACGATGAGTAAGCCTTGGTTTTTAGCTTCCAAAGTCACTTTTGAAAATTGAAATGGACTACCTTAGGGTAGTTTAAAATGTTGTACAATCCTCCTGCCCAGTGCCATTCACACCACCGTGTCCCCACTTTGACACATGGTGACAGTTCATCTTTAACAATGTGGTAAACGGTATTTAGTTGGAGTATAGTTATAATTCAGGACAAGTCTCTGGTAGGAAAACAGCCACTCAGCTACCCCAGTACCATTCATCAGTTATAGCAAAGTTGGTCATCAAATGGCTTACCTGAGCCTGGAATGATGTTGATTACCCCCTTTGGAAAGCCTGCTTTCACGGAGAGCTCTGCAAACTTCAAAGCAGTCAAGGGTGTGACCTGAACAGAAGCAGACAGCAATGACCTTCTTCAGACTCTGTCTTCCTTTAGACCAGTACTTGGTTTTCCCTTGATGTTTGTACTAGAGCTCACATTATTTTTCTTTTATGTACTTTTTTATTTTTATAATTTCAGGCACTTAGCGAAGTTGCAAAAATAATAATTCCTTATATACCCTTCACCCAGATTCCTCAAATGTTAACATTTCACTAAATTTGCTTTATCTATCTATACATATTTTTTGGAACTATTTAAGATATATAAATCTCAATTACCTCTGTGTATTTCCATGTGCACTTTGTAAAAGCAAGAAATTATTTTACATAATCACAGTACATTATCAAAATCAGGAAATTAAAAACTGACAGAATATTCAATATAGATCTTATTCAAATTTCACCAAATTATCCCAAAGTCATTTATAGCAAAAGAAAGTCCAAGGTCAAAAAAAAAAAAAAGAAAAAGAAAAAGAAAGTCCAAGGTCATTCATTACATTTAGTTATATCTGTAGTTTCCATTAATCTGGGAGAGCTTGAGTTTTCTTTTATATTTCATTACACTGACATTTTTGAAGAGTACAGGCCAATTATTTTGTACAATGCCCCTTTGTTTGAGTTTGTCTAATATTTCCTCATGATCAGATTCAGGTTCTGCACTTTTGGCAACAATATCCCTGGGTGATGCTGAGTTTCCAGGACCTTCCGACCAGGAGGCACATACCATGGAATAGTCCCAACACCAGAAACATTAGCTTTGATCATTAAGTGTGATCTGCCCACTTCCATCACTGTAAGTTACTATTGTATACACTATGATTAGTAAATATTTTTAGAGAGATACTCCTCAAACTTTCATCCACTGGTTTTTGTATCTGTTGATAATTCCTCCCTGAACCAGTTATTAATATGGTGGTCGCGAATGGTGATTTTCTGATTCTATCATTCCTTTTACCTGTATTAATTGCCTCTTCCCTATAAGAGTTTTCCCTTTAATTTATTAGTTAGTTAATATCAGTGAGAACTCATGTATTCTTTCTCTGTTTGGTGGGATATAATCTTTTAGTGCTGTTACTGATTTTGAGGTTTAAATCATTCCAGCTTTGGCTGTGGGAGCCCCTTCATTATGGCTTCCAGGTTGTTGTAACATGTGCCCGTGACTCTGGGAGCATTTCCTTGAGTTTGGCCCAACATGACGTTCCAGGCTCATCTTATGTTTCCCCTGTTCCAGCCACTTCTCCAAAGAGCCTGGGTTTCTTCTTTTTATTATTATTTCATATTAATACGAGGGAACAAATGTTTAAGTTACATTATTTTCATTTCTAAGGTAAAGTTCAAGTTGTAGTTGAGCCCTTCACCCAGGGGTTGTACTGAACACCCTCACATTGTGCACATTAGGTGAGATGCCGCCAATCGCTCCCCCTCCTCCCCTCCCCTCTCCAGCCCAGGTTTCTTTTAGTGGATAATGGTGTTTAGAAGCCAAGACATCTGGACACAACTGAGGCATCACTGCTTCTCAGCCCAGGAAGCAGACACTAAATAGATGAATGTATATACAGTCACACACATGGTGTATGTGTCTATGTATATACTTAACTATCTCTACACGTGTTATATCCATTTATCATTCAGCTATCTAAAGACATTAAAACTCACGAGTTTATACTGATACATCTATCCAATATCTCAAGGTTAATTCTATCCCTCCCTCTTCCTATATTTGCAAGTCTCTTCTCCAAGTGGGAGACATGGCTCCCATTATCCATAATATATTTACTTTTCTGCTTTATCTTACAAGGCAGACAAAGTCATTGGAATGGTTAAGCCATATCCCTAATGAAAAAGAAGCTCACTTTCTAAAGTTCAGTATTTATTGGGTGGTTTTTTGCCTTGTTAGTCCAAAGTTACTTGGGTTTGCATTTCCTTGACCCCTCCAGTGGAGTTATGCTTTTCATTTGTGATATGACTTAATTTGATTTTGGCTGCATTCCATTTTAAGGGTTTGGCCCCATCTGTGTTGACTGTCTTTCTTTTCTTTGTTGCCATTAAACATGGGAAATACACTACCAAAAGTTAGGGCTGTACAAAAGATCTGCTCAGAGAACTGCTGCTCTGCTCTCATGCCATCCCACACCCTCTAGATCAGTCTCCTTACTCTCCGGTTTCTTTTTGTTCAAATGAGCAAATACATATTTTTTTTATTTTCTCTTCTTTCTTACACAAAAAGTGGCATAATATGGGACATAATCTCATTCTACACATGTATTATAGCAGCACAAATCTCAGAAGCAAAATGAAAATACTATTCTCACGCTCTTAAAAACCAACAATGATTAAGTCTTAAGTTAATATCTTGGTAACCTCTAAAAATGGAGTATGCAAGAAGATCCATTCAGGTGTGGAAACAAAATAGTGGAAGCTTTACATATATATTTTAACTCACAAAGCTTTGAAAGAAATTAGCCATTAACTAACATGTATTCTATGGCTGGATAATGGTGCTCTCACCATTCTGAATGAAGGTCTTTTACGGAAGTGAAAAAGTTGATAGGTAATGAATTGTTAAAACTTTCAGAATAGAGACCAAGCTTTCTCCATGACTTATGCATCTCAGAATGCCTACTACAGTGCACTTGACAGAGTAAAGGTGCTCATTTCTTGAGGGCATACTAGTTCCCAGGCATGTATCAGTCATGATATCTTGTCACTGGACAAGATACACAAATGCTCAGCCAGTGATACATTGGCTACTATGTTTTTTTCTTTCTTTCTTTTTTTTTTTTTGAGACAGAGCCTCAAGCTGTCCCCCTGGTTAGAGTGCTGTGGCATTACAGCTCACAGCAACCTCCAACTCCTGGGCTCAAGCGAGTCTCTTGCCTCCGCCTCCCAAGTAGCTGGAACCACAGGCGCCTGCCACAACGCCCGGCTATTTTTTGGTTGCAGCCGTCATTGTTGTTTGGTGGGTCCAGGCTGGGGATTCGAACCTGCCACCTTAGGTGTATGTGGCTGGCGCCTTAGCCGGTTGAGCTATAGGCGCCAAGCCCCATGTTTTTTTCTTGAAAAATTATTGTAGCACTAAAATATTTTTTTTTGAGAAAAACTTAAACTTTCTTTTGTATATTTCTCCCTCATCTTCCATATCTTTACTATATATATATATATATATATATATATATTTACTTATTTATTTTTATTTTTAATTTTTTTTAGACAAAGTCTCATCTCACTCTGTCACCTTGGGTGGAGTGCCATGGCATCACGGCAACCTCAAACTCGTGGGCTGGAGCAATCCTCTTGCCTCAGCCTTCTGAGTAGCTGGCACTATAGGTACCTGCCATGACATCAGCTAGTTTTTCTTAGTAAAGACAGGCTCTTTCTCTTGATCAAGCTGGTCTTAAGCTCCTGAGCTCAAGCAATTTACTCCCTTAGCCTCCCACAGTGATAGGATTATACGCATGAGCCACTGTGCTTGGCGTCTTTACAATATTTTTGATAATTAAGTTTGAATGCCTGTAGAATACTTTTCCTTTTGATGTCTTTATAATTGTCTTAAAAATTCCTTGATAGTTAGGCATTTGGCATTTTGCAAGAATTGAATTGGCATGCAGACACATTTGGTGGGTTTTCTTGATGTACAGTATGCTTGCTTCCACTGTCATAGAAGTTTTAAATTACGGAATTTCCATATGATCATGAATTTGGTTGCTATAAAAATGAGCATTTACTAATATGAAAAGCTGTCCATGATATATGAAAAGATATAATATATAGACCTATTTTCGTGTAAAGACACACTATTTATAAATGTATATCTCTGTTGTAAGGTATAGTATATAAAAGAGGAGGGGCTTCTGCACTTGAGCCTTTGGCCCCTTACCTGTGCTGGCTTGAGCACTAAGGTATTGCCTGCTGCCAAACACGCAGCGCTCTTCCACGCCAACATCATCAAAGGGTAATTCCAGGGAATGATAATGGCACAGACACTGCAAGGGAATGAATTTGACATCTTTAGAGGTCTCAGACTAACATAAATCATGAGTCACTCAAAGACACTCTCCTTATCTCACCCAAGCGGCTCCTTCTTGGTGAAGGTCAGGTTGCGATTTGGACGGGCCTGGTTGATTGGAATTGTAGAACCCTAGAGAATAAAAGAAGTTGATATTTATTTACTTTCCGAAATAGACTCTCACTCTGTTGTCCTAATCTAGAGTGCCGAGGCATCAGCCTAGCTCACAGCAATCTCAAATTCCTGGACTCAAGAGATCTTCCTGCCTCAGTCTCCCAAGTAGCTGGGATTATAGACATCTTCCTGCCTCAGTCTCCCAAGTAGCTGGGATTATAGACACCTGCCACAATGTCCAGCTAATTTTTCTATTTTTAGTAGAGACAAGGTCTTGCTCTTGTTCAGGCTGTTCTCAAACTCCTGAGCTCAAAAGCTCCTTCGGCCTTGTCTACCTAGAGTGTTAGGATTACAGGTCTGAGCCACCATGCCTGGCCTTATTTTACTGATTTAAATTAGCAATTAAGAAAAATTCTTAAATCTCAAAGTATCCATCTGCTGTTCTTCTCTCTTATTTTTCCTTGAGAAGACGGTGTTTGTTACATATTTATGTTTATACATGTCTATGGTTATATCCACCTACATACGAGGTGGATCTGACACAGTGCCTGGTACAATTTTCCTTTCAGAACAAATAAGATTTGCACTTACCTGAATTTTGTCACACCAGCCAGCAAAATATCTGAATGTTTGCACAGACATTCCAATGTGAGTCTTCAGAGCCAAAGTGTAGACAGCCCCTGAGTCGAGGGCTTCAATGGTTGCCAGCTCTTCTTGGTTCTCTTCCAGTAGGTCTGCAAGTCTGTACGGTCAGTGAAAGGAATTCATTCAACAAATATTGATTGAACCCATATTCTACTTACTGCACTATTTTTCTTTTTGTTGAGATAGAGTCTTACTCCATTGCCCTGGGTAGAGTGCTGTCGCATCATAGCTCACAGCACCTCAAACTCTTGGGCTTGAGTGATCCTCTTACCTGAGCCTCCTGAGTAGCTGGGACTACAGTCAGGTACCACCATGCCCAGGTAGTTTTTCTATTTTTAGTAGAGATGGGGTCTCTGCTCAGGTTAGTCTCAAACTCCTGAGCTTAAGCAATCCACCTGCCTCAGCCACCCAGAGTGCTAGGATTACAGATATAAGCCACTGTGCCAGGCCTATACTGCACTATTCTAAGGACTGAGATAATTCAGAGGTGAACACAGATGGACCAGGTTTCTGCCCTTATGGACATCTTGGTCCAACAGGGAAGATAGACATTGAACAAATAATTTCATAAATAATTTGTTTTGGGAGTTAAGGCAGAGGGTATGGGAAGCATGAATAACCTGCCTCATATATGTATAAGAAGTAACACAGCAACTGAACCACACCAACCCAAGGTCAATGATAGAAAACAGTGGAAATATGCATAGTTCCTGAATAACACAGGGATATGTTAGAGTGCAACTCGCTCCTTTTAAGGACCCATGAACACCTGAGGATTTCTGGTTGGCACAGAAACATTTCCAGCACTAACTACAGAGGACAAGATAGAAACAGAGATAGAAAATGAATTGCAAACACCACAATAGATTTCTGCTTGGTTTTCAGTTGCTATGAGAAAATAAGTACAGGACTGAGTGATGACTATGAAATAAAACTAATTTGTGTTTTGTGTTCATCCTCTCCATTTCTTTTCCTTCATTCCTTCAGTGGTTTTCTGAGCTATTTATTCCTTTTGGGCCATTCTAGAGTTGGGCTTGAGAGCCCCCCTTCCCTAAGGTATCTTCCAGAACTTACTCTAAGAGATCTTTTGACAAAGGTAAGATATTTGGTTTTAGGTAAGCAGAAAACTAAACTTATGATTGAATCTAATTACTGCTGGCATACTTAGTTACTGATTTATGATACTCTTCCCAGGCCTCATTGTTTTTCCTCCTTTTTCTTATTCCCTACACATCAAGTAGATGTAAAATTTGTCTTTGAAAACAATAGGGTCATGGATATTCTGAATTTGCTGCTCTATCTCTATTCTCCAGCTTGCTCTGTGACCTTGACCCTGGTGAATGACCTTTATAGACTACATCAGCCTGCTGCCTGGTGAGAGGACATGGGCTACCACAGGAGATTGGCAAACTGGAAGAGAAGTGGTCAGAGAATTCAATCAATCCTCAACTCCGTCACCAATGGGGAGTGGTTCAGCAGCAGCTGTGGCCCTCCGCCAAAGACGATGGGACCATGGCCCTCTCCTACAGCTACAGAGCTTGCTGGCTCCTTCCTGTGTCCCTTCAGACCTTGGAGGAGCAGCAGCTTCCTGCTGTGCTAGCCCTTCCCAGGATGATTTGTTATCCTTTGCTGAATTCCCTTGACCTTGTCCACATCTTTGTAAATAGGCCTTTATTAAACTTAGTTTCCTATTGGGACCTTGACCAATATAAGCAAAACTCAGGAACTCACCTATATAAGATTGTACATGATTCAAGTAACAGTAGGTGTGTTATATCATAGGTGCGTACTAGAGAGTTTTGAAGGAATTTTTGAAATCTTGGCAATGTTAACCCATATCCAAAGGCAGTAGACTTGGTTTTCTAAAAAACATACCTGTACATCAATCTTCCTCTTTCTCTTGCATTCATTCTTCCCCATTCACCATTTTCAAAAGCATCTTTTGCTGCTGCTACTGCTTTATCAACATCCGCCAAAGAAGCATAGGATACTTTGCATATTATCTATTTCAAGGAAGGATAGGGTACATAAAAGATATGTAGGTGGCTCTTGGAATTAATATTATATTAATAGGAAAAATAGAGTATTACCTATAAAATACAAGGAATTCTATGCTAAAATTAACATATCTGGTAATATGGTAAAGAAAAGAAACTATTTTCATATGAAAATGGTGAACTTAGCTTAGCACCAGTAGCACAGTGATTACAGTGTCAGCCACATACACTGAGCCTATGCCAGGCCTGCTAAACAACAATGACAACTGCAACCAAAAAATAGCTGAGTGTTGTGGCAGG